GACTCTCACCACACACACACACAAAGGGTAACTGTGAGGAGATGGATATACTAATTAGCTTGACTATAGTAATCATTTACTATGCACATGCATATTAAAATAATCATGTATACCTTAAATACATATAATTTTTATTAAAAAGGATTTTTTTTATTTCCTATGATTTGGCAATTTTTTGATATTCTGTTGTTGATTCTTAGTTTAATTATATTATAGTCAGAGAACATATTTTCTGTGATTTCTTTTAAATTTACTTGGTTTTATGGCTCAGAATATGGTATATCTTAGTAAAAATTCCATATGCATTTGAAAGAAATTTATATTCTATTGTTATGAATAGTATTCTATAAATATCAATTAAATGAAATTGTCCAGATTTTTTAGAACTTTAATAATTTTTTCTCTATGTTTCTATCAATTACCAAATGAGAAGTATTGACATTCATAATTATGTGGATTATCTATTTCTCTATTCAATTTCATAAGTTTTGCCTCATATATTTTAGAGCCCTGTTAAGTATTATTTATCTTGCATTACTGTCTTGGTGAATTGATTTTTATAATTATGTAATATGTCTTTATCCCTCATCACTCATTACTTGTCTATTTTTTATTTTGTTGCTTGTGATTTCAGTATAATCTTCAAAAAAATCATTACTAAGGTCAAGGAAGTTTTCCCTTAGATTTTATTCCAGAAATTTTTATGGTTTCTGGTCTTACATTTAAGTTGTAATCCATTTTGAGTTGATTTTGCATATGGTGGAGGATAGGAGTCCAGTTTCATTCTTTTGCATATGGATATCAAGTTTTTCCATTTGTTGAAAAAACTATTCTTTCCCATTGTGTGTTCTTGCTGTCTTTGTCAAAAATTATTACACCATATATGCCATGATTATTTCTGTGCTCTCTATTTTGTTTCATTGATCTATATGTCTGTTTTATGCCAATACCATACTGTTTTGATCATTGTAGCTTTGTAATACAGTTTGAAATCAGAAAGTATACTACCTCCAACTCTGTTCTTTCTCAAGATTGTTTTGGCTATTCAGAATCTTATGTGGTTCCATATGAATTTTAGAATTGTTTGTTCTACTGTTGTAAAAAATTCCATTGGAATTTTGATAGGTATTGCAGAAAATTTGTATACCACTTTGGGAATTATGGACATTTTAACAATACTAAATTTTCCAATTCATTAACACAGGTTGTCCTTCCATTTACTTGTGTCTCCTTCAATTTTTTTCACCGATGTTTTGAGATTTTCAGTGTAAAAACAAATTCTAACTTACGTGTCATAGACAAATTTTCAGGGAAAATTAGAGAATAATTTTACCTGAGCAAAAATAAAAATACAACATGTCCAAATTTGTGTTATGTAGCAAAAAACTGCATGAGAAAAACTTGTAAAATTAAATTACATTAAAAAGTAAGAAAGGTCTCAAATTAACATTAAAGCTTCTATCTTCATAAATTAGAAAAAGAGCAAAGAAAATTCAAAGAAAGTAGAAGAGAGAAAATAGTAATGATAGAATCAGAATTCAACAAAATTAAAACAAAACAAAAATAAATAAAAAAAAGACACAAAAGTCAGTTATTTTTAAAGAATAAATTTGATAAATCTTTATAAAGAATGACCAAAAAAAGAGAAGACTGAAATTTAAAAATACATGAAGAATAAAGCAAGAGATATCATTATATACTTTATAGAAATTTAAAATATAATAAGGAATACTAACAACTTTTATGCCCACAAATTCTACAACTTGGATAAAATCTACAAATTTCTTAAAGACTACAACTTACTCAAAAAAATAATAATCTGAATTGTCTATATCTATTTTAAAATTGTATTTGCAATTGAAAAAATTCCCCCCAAAACAATAAATTTAATAAAATAAAACATTTTTTAAAAACTTCTGGAAAAAAAACTTGAGGTCCATTAATTTCATTAGCAAATTATACTAAACATTAAGGAAAAAAATATACCAATTTTACACAATAGTTACCTGAAAATAGAAGACATGGCAATATTTTCTAACTCATTTAACTGGCTTGGCATTATCCTGTTACTGAAATCAGAAAGACATTAAGAAGAAAGAAAATTACAAATCAATAAAGAAGCAAAAAATTCCAACAAAATATTAAGTCAAATTCGATAATATAAAAAAGATAATTTATCACAATCAATATCAAAATTTATATGGTAAAATGTCATTAAGGAAATACAAAGGCATATCATAATGTGATAGTTCTTCATGTTTATTAGAATGACATTTTAAAGAAAAACCAAAAATAATAAATGCTGGTAGAGATGCAGGACAGCTAGAACTTTTACATATTGCTGGTGTAAATGCAAAATGGCACAACCTCTTTGGAAAATTGGTAGTTTTCTACCAAATATACACTTATAATATGACCCAGCATATCTAGTTCTAGGTATCTACCCAACAGAGATTAGAATTATTTCACACAAAATCCTATATATTAATGATTTAGCAGCTTTTTTTATATCCACTCCAAAATGGAAACAACCCAAATAACTTTGAACTGTTTATTGTGGACAAACTGTGATACATCAATATAATGAAATACTACATAGTTTTGAAAATGATTTAACTCTTGATACTCTCAATAACATGGATTACTCTCAAATGCATTATGCTGAGTGAAACGTATTAAGCTAGACTCAAAAGTCTACATGCAGTATGAATCCATTTATATGATATAATGGAAAGGACAAACTTTGAGGACATAAAGCATCAGTGGTTACCAGGTTTTAGGGGCAGCAAGTATTTAATAAAAATGGCAGCATGAAGGTGATTTTGAGGAGTTATACTTTCATATTTTGATTTTGCTGATTACTTGAATCGATATATATGTTAAATCTCATAGAATTGTATAACCAAAAGAATGAATTTTACTGTACACAAAGTTTAAATTAAATTTAAAATTTGGCACAATGATAAAAAAAAAATCAAAGTCTGAATCTAGACTGTTTGGGTTTGATTCCCTGTTCTATAAATTATTAACTCTAAGTCTTTGGTTTGCTTTTTCCCTGTGCTTCATTTTCTTCATCTATAAAATGACAATAATAATAGTGACTTCTTCAAAGTGCAATTGTAAACATTAAATAATATTTTTAAGGAAATTAAAGTAGTGCAGGATGCATTGTAAGTGTTAATAACTTTTAGCTTTTATCATTATTAATATATATTGAAATATTTTGAATATTTTTATTGCTAGTTGAAGATAATCATAGTGAAAAATCTTTCAATTTAGTAAATATATCATTTTAAAATGGCGTTTTATAGATTTGGGTCCTCATCTCTCATAACTTCTGTCATGGAGTAGATGCTGACTACCTCTACTGAATGATAACCAGTTACCATTTTAGACATTACTATTATTTTGAAACACATGTCCTATTCTCGTAGTAATGCTGCAACATGTTGATTAGACTTCTAACTTTACAGTTGAAAACACTGAGCCACTAAGTAAACTCTTTAAGATCTGATCAGCTTTCAAGCTCATGCTTTCTTCTACTTGGTGCTGTCTATAATTTGAATGTGTAACTGCATAGTCTTAAATTTTTTCCATATCATTTTATCCAGCACTGTGATGTTTCCTGATGTATATTTTTTAAAAATAACATCTTTGGGAATCACTTGAGTCACTGTAATTCAGTCATGACATTAATAAAATGGTTACCCCTGGAACAAGTAGAAGCTGATCAATTACTAGTATTATCTATCTATCTATCTATCTATCTATCTATCTATCTATCTATCTATCTATCTCTCTATCTCTCTATCTCTCTATCATCTATCTAATCTATCATCTCTCTATCATCTATTCTTCTATCATCATCATTTACCATCTAAAATACACATATAAGCAAATAGATGAAATCAGTTCTATTTCAGATATGCAGTGTCTTAATTCTGTTTGGCATTTGATAAAAAGTTGAATTCTCCAGTTGCACATTTTCAGAATGTGTTGTGGTAAGGAAATAAGCATTAGTTACTTTGAAGTTTAAGGATATATGAGCTATTCAAGAAGATAAGATAGGAATTTCTCTGTAGGGCTGACACTTGCTCATGAACGTTTTCCTCTATTGTCCAGTGAATGAAAAGGTGAAGCATTAGTATTAAAAGAGAAAAGCATGAGATGCCTCAGGTATCTCATGTAGTTTGACAGATCTGTCATCTGTGCAGGGTAGCATACTAAGCAGCATCTTTTCATATACCAGGCATTGCTTTCTCTGATCATTTATGGTCTGTCGATGCATGCTTCCTAAAACTTCCTATTATCACTGTCATCCATAAGGGCTCGAGATAGCAGCTTTTTTTTTTTTTGACAGGGGAGCATTATATTTTCAGCAAGGTAGAACTTGGTTCAAATTCTGGCCTTGTCACAAATATATCTAAAATCCAGCAACATAAGATTGAAGATAAACAAAAGCAGTGGTTTTCAAAGTGTTGTCTTAGAATCCTTGTGGATCTCTGAGACATGTTTAATAAGTGTGCATAATACTATGATATTTCCTGCCTTTTATTTTTACTCTAAAATTCTCTCATGATTATGCAGTGGAGTTTTCTAGAGGTTACATGACATGTGATATTGCAACAGATTAAATGCAAAAGCAGATATGAGAATCTAGCTGTCTTCCATAGAGACATTGAAGAGATTTGCAAAAATGGAAGATATTGCCACTATTAACTAATTTTTCTTGTCTTAAAAAATACATTTAGTGTTGATAAAGTATGTTATTTTAATTAACCTTTAGTAAGTATATTATTATCATCATTCTATTAAGTGAATGATTTTCTAATGAGGTCAGTTTCTAATGCAGTAAATATTGATAAATATTACCCATATCGAAAAAGCAATTTGAGGTCTGAATAACTTAAAGAGTATAAAGAGTTTCTGAGACCAAAAAGTTTGAAAACACTGAGAAAGAGAAAGACATTAAAACAGTAAAGGTACTAAATATACATCAAAATATAAAAATATAACATATACATGTAAATATTAAGAGAATGTATTAACTAAGATTCCTCAGAAATGTCAAATATAAGGTGTTTAACAAATCCCCAAATTTTTCACTTAGACAACACCATTCTTATCGCAATATACAATCTATTTGTGTTTAGATATAGACTCTTATCAGCAAGAATTTACTTTTCTCTGCTTTGTACAGATTCAAATAAGTTTGTTAATGATTACACTAAACATTAATTTGATATTATTTAAATTAATAATATTTAATATTATTAAAATATTAATATTATTTGGTTGATTTATCCTAAAAGAAAATCAAAGTCTCTTTCAAAGTATTAATTGAAAGAAAGTTTACATGTACTTGTAACAAGCCATCCCAATGTCTTGGAAAAAACATTACCATAAGTGAAGTAGTTTTCATAAAAGCATCCAAGGCCCCTACTTTCCAGAGTTCTTCAATGTTTTCTGGTATTGGTCTATGAATATAATAAGCAGTGGCAATATAAGCCAGTCCAAAGCACAGAGTTTTGCACCCAATGATATTCTTTTCATAACTTCTGTACAGTAATGATTTAATGTCACCCAGTATTTACTGAATGCTAAGTGGTAGATCAAAAGTAGATGACAAACTCTCTCAAGTAATATGACCATTTTGACAATAATGACCTAACATTCAGTTTCAAGATAAACAGTGACCACAGCAGGTGGTTCAACAATTATATACTCTATCTGAAACACAGTTCACAATACAGCCTAGCAAGTATGCAAACAATTCAAAATGTTGGCAGAAGTTCTTTCACCCTGTGACACTATCATCATCCCAGAACAATAAATTTTGTTAAAGAGTCTCAGCAGAGCACTAGATAAACCAAGCAGTCTCTCCCATTAGTATTTTGTAAAGATTAGTGAGAGGAGGTTAAAAAAATTGTTCAGGTAATATTTATTCAACCTCAAGGCTAATACCTTTGGCATATATCAGTAACAAAATTAAAATTCACTGTGATCAATTGAACTTTAGACAAAAAGAGAGGAACTTGGTGTTATTGTCCAAGTTCCAGAATTAATTAATCCAGTCCAGAATATTTATGAAGTATTTACCTTATGTTAAACATGAAAATTTTCAATCTATGTAGTTATGTAATCTTGAAAAAAGTATTCATTTGGCAAATATTTATTGTATGCCTTATATCAGACATGCATATTACTAATGTGAAAAATGGTACGAAATTGAGTGAAACATGATATTTGTCTATTCGTTTGCGGTGCTTTATCTCTCTGATTTACATTTTCTTAAACAATTTTTGGAAATTTTGTTATAGAATAGTTTCTCCACTCATTTTGCAACAGAAGTTGTTACTATAATTGATGTATCATCTCCATGCCATAATTTCTTACTGTAACCCTTACTGATAGGAAAAAACTTCATTCTTTAAAATAACTGAGGAATAAGAACCACATGGGTGGAAGAGGAGAAGAAGGCTGAAAATAAGCTGAATATGCACAGTCCAATATGTATATATGAGTCAACATTTTGAAATACCTATTTAATTTTGCATGCTTTTCTTTCCCCATCTTCTCTGATTTACATGAAACTTTATTGGACCTGCCCTTCTCATCTAGATGGCAAGGCTCTTCTTATCTTAATTTCTCAAGGATAGGGTGTACCATTAGAAAATAAAAAATAATTTACAAATTCTTCCTACCTTTGCATTTTGAAATTTAAGTTCTTATGTTAATAGAAAGAATTCTTGATAAAGACATGAAATTATATTATTGATTGAGATATGGAAGAGCTTCAAATGCAGAAATATTTCTCCTTGATTGATGATTCTTCCTCATGGGACTTTTACATATGGGATAGTGGTGAGGCAGGCAAGTAGCCATATTGAAAGCGGAGAAAGAAGAGGATCATAGAAAGAAAAAAATGAAGATAAAATCAAATGTTTTTCTTCTAATTCTTAATTGATCTAATAGATAACTATTCAAATTAATAATATATTAAATCATTATAACATATGGATAAGTGAAATTAATAGGAAGGAGTAATTGAGAACACTGTGTTATAAGGTACCTGTAGTAACAGTGAAGTGATATAGCATTATTTGAAAGTAGACGCAAACAGTTGTAAATATACATTCCAAATCTTAGTGCAACTACTAAAAATTTTTTTAAAGAAATATGATTGATATGCTAAGAGAAGAGAGAAAAAGGAATAATATAAGATGCTCAGTTAAAACCAGAGAAGGCAGAAAAGAGGGAAGAACACAAGAAACAAAGAAAAGTGCAATGAATAACAAATAATTGCAAACATGGCAGAAATAGGTAATATAACTAAATTAATAATCACTCTACTGCGAATGGTCTAAATAACAAATTAAAAGACAGGTGTCAGGGTGAGTAAACAAACAAACTCAATTATATGTTGTCTACAAGCAACCACTTTAATTGTAAAGACACAGATAGATTCAAAGTAAAGGGATAGAGATACGCCATACTAATAGTGATCAAAAGAAACATGTATCCACTGTGTTAATTTTATACAAAATAGATTTCAGAACAAGAAAACTTATCAGGGATAAAGAGAGGCATTACATAGTGATTAAAGGGTCAGTTTCCAAGAAGACCATCACAATCGTGTACATGTATGGACCTAACAACAGAACATCAAAATATGTTATGCAAAAGATGATAGAGTTGCACAGTTAAATAGACAAATTAACTGCTATAATTAAAGACCACAACACCTCTCTGTCAGGAATTGACAGATCCAGCAGACAGAAAATCAATGAGGATATAGTTGAACTGAATATCATCAATTAAATATCTTATTGATATTTATGGAAAACTTCATTCAATAGCAGCAGAATACACATTCTTCTCAAGCTCACATAAAATAATCGCCAAGATAGAATAGCTTTTGAGCCATAAAACGCACCTAAACGAATTTTTAAAAATAGGAATCATACAAAGTATGCTCAGACTACAATAGAATTAACCGAGAAATCCATAACAGGATGATAGCTGAAAAATCCCAAATATTTGGAGATGAAACAACACATTCATAAATAACAAATGGGCCAAAGAAGAATTCTCAAGTGAAATTAAAAATATTTTGAACTAAGTGAAATAAAAATATATCAAAATTATGAGATGTAACAAATGCAGTACACACTTAGAGAAAAACTTAAAACATGCAATACGTTATAAAAGAAGAGACATCTAAAATCAATTACCTAAGCTTTCATCTTAGAAAACTAGATATAGAAGGGCAATATAAGACTGAAGCAAGTAGAAGAAAATTAATAATAAAAATTAGAGCAAAAATAAGTATAACTGAAAGCAGGAAAACAATTGAAAAAATCGACAGAACCAAATATTGGTTCTTTAAAAATATCAATAAAATCAACATCTAGCTAGGCTAATCAAGAAAAAATAGAGAAGATAGAAATTACTAATATCAGAAATGAAAGAGGGGGTCATCACTGTTGATCGCATGGACACTGAAAAGATAATAAAGGAATACTATGGAGAGTTCTATATCCACAAATTCTATGACCTAAACGAAATGAACCAATTCTCTAAAACTCACAGAGGGATAAAAGATAATTTGATTAGACCTATATAAATTTATGACGCTGAATCAAAAATTAATAAACTTCTAAAAAAGAAAGCACCACTCTCAGAATGATTCATTCGTGAAATCTACCAAATGCTTAATAGAGAAATTATACCTAATCTTTACAATCTCTTATAAAAAAAATAAAAGTAGAAAAAACACTTTCTAACTCATAATATGAGGCCAGTATTACTCTCGTACTAAAACAAAGTAAACATCACAAGAAAGGAAAATTGCAAATCAATATTTCTTATGAAGATAGTTGTAAAAATCCTAAAGAAAACATTATCAATTTAAACCCAACAATGTATACAAAGAATTAACACCATGACCAAGTGGGATCTATTCCAGGTAAGCAAGGTTGGCTTAGTATTCAAAAATCAATTAATGTAATCCATCACATCAATAAGTGAAGAAGAAAAAGCGTATGATCATATCATTAGATGAAGACAATGTTTGACAAAATACAACCCTAATTATGGTAAAAATTTCTCAGGAAACTAGAAATAGCAAGGGATTCTTCAACCTGATAAAGACAATCAACAAAAAGTCCTACACCAAATGTTAGACTTAATTTTGAGAAACTGAATACTTTTCCCCTAAGATTATGAGCAGGCAATGATATCGCCTCTTATAGCTCCTATTCAAAACCATACTGGAAGTACCAGCTAATACAACAACAACAAAAAGGTATATAAATTGAGAAGGAGGAAATAAAACTGTCTTTATTTACGGATGACATTATTGCCTATGTAGAAAATTCTTTAAAAATGACAAATAATAAAATCTCAGACTAATAAGTGATTATGGCATAGTCAAAGGATATGAGGTTAATATACAAAGTCAATTGTTTTCCTATATCCCAAAATTAACAAGTGGAATTTGAAATTATAAATGTAATATTATTTAAATTAGTACCAAAATAACAAAATATGTGGGAATAAATCTAACAAAATATGTCCAGATTCTATATAATAAAAACTACAAAACTCCGATGAAAGATATCAAAGATTTTTAAAAGGTAGATATATTCCATGTTCATAGAAAGACTCAATATTGTCAAGATGTCAATTATTTTCAACTTACCTTATAGATTTCAGGAAATCTTAATCAAAATTCCAAGTTATTTTGTGGATATTGTCACACAGTTTCTAAAGTTTATATGGAAAGATGAAAGACCCAAGAATAGCCAACGCATTACTGAAAAAAAACAACTAAGTCAGGGCATGACACTATCCAAACTAAAAACTTACTGCAAAGCCACAATACATGATGGTATTGGTGAAAGAATAGACAACTATAGCCATGAAACAGAATAGAGGGGCCAGAAATAGAACCACATGAATATAGTCAACTGGTCTTTGACAAAGTAGTAGAGACAATTTAATTGAGAAAGAATAGTGCTTTCTACAAATGGTCTTGGAACAAGTGGACAGCCGTACGCTTAAAGATCATATACTTTTCACAAAAATTAACTCAAAATGGCTCACAGTACTAAATGTATAATGCAAAACTGTTAAAATTCTAGGAGATAAAATCATACAAAATCTAAGCAATCTTGGGTTTGGTTATGAGATTTAAATACAACATTAAAAGCAGTATCCATGAAATAAAAAATGATAATTTAAACTACATTAAAATTTGAAATGTCTGCTCTGTGAAAGACCCTGTTAGAATAAAAAAACAAGCCACAGACTAGAAGAAAATATTGTAAAAAGCATGTCTGGTAAAGGATATTTATCCAAAATATACAAAACTCTCAAAAGTCAGCAATAAGAAAACTGAGGACTCAATAAAATCTGGGCAAAAGCTCTGAATATACATCTCACAAAGAAGATATAGAGATAGAGGATAATTATATGAAAAGATGCCCAACATAAATTTTTATTGGAGAATTATAAATTAAAACATTGTTACTAAACACCCATTTGAATGGCTAAAACAAAACAAAGCAAACAAATTTTTGACAATAGCAATTGCTGGCAAGGATGTAAAGTAATAGAAATTCATTGTTGGTGGGCATGCAATATGATACAACCTCTTTAGAAGACAGTTTGACATTTCTTGCAAAGCTAAATATAGTCTAACCACATGAGCCACTGCACTTCTTGGTGCTTCTCAACTGAGATGAAATTTATGTCCCAAAACTGGAAATAACCAAGATATTGTTTAATAGGTGACTGCATAAACAAACTACAGCACATACAAACAATAAAATATTACTCAGCAATAAAAAGAAATGAGCTGTCAAGGCATGAAAATACATGGATCTGTCTTAAATGCATATTTTTAAGTGAACACGACTAGTTTAAAAAGGTTACATACTATATAAAACCAACCTTATGACATTCTGGAAAAGGTAAAACTACAGAGACATTCAAATTATCATTAGTTCTCAGGAGTTTGGGGAGAGGAGGTAGGGATTTTTAAGGATGGTGAAACTGTTTTGTTTGATACTGTAATGGCTGAAACATGATATCATGAAATTGTCTAAACCCATACACTGTACATAATGAGTCAACCTTGATGTAAACTTTGGAGTTGTTACTAGTAATCCATGAATATTGGTTCATTCATTGTAACAAATGTACCACATTAATACAAAATATTAATAACAGAACTGTGTGTGGGAGTGTAGTGAGTAGTATATTAGATTCTCTGTAGTATCTGCTTACTTTTTCTGTAAGCCTAAAATTGTTCTAAAAAATAAAGTCTATTAATAAAAAAAAGTAAGAATAATCTTCATGAAGGTTAGAAAAGAAAAACAGAAGAAATAAACAAAAGGATATAATAGCAGACTTAAACTCTAACATATCAATAACTACCTTAAATGTAAATGGTCTAAATACACCAATTAAAAGACAGAATTAGTAAAATAACACACTCTGACTATATGTTTTTTACAATGAGTTCATTTCAAATTAATCAACATAAGTAGCTTAAAAGTAAGAAAATA